GAATACTTTAATTCAATTCACAAATGCCTAAGGATCCACGTAAACCCCCAAATCTGAAAGGGAAGCGTGCTGAGAGCCTGCCAAGGAACAGGCATGGAAAATCCCTGCCTCTCCTCACCCTCCACAGCGTGCAGAGGGGTGAGTGCATTGACCCTGAATGCACAGTCACTAAAGCTGGGTTGAAAAAAGGGACAGAGTTACGTCTGTGGGCTAATAAATAATGCAGGTACAATCTCACAGAGGGCTGGTGTGACTGAACACTTGTTACAACCTGTGGGCTGCAGGGAAAATGTTGTGGAGCTGCAGCTCTCAGTCAAAGAGTGGGAAGTGAGGGCATCAGCCCTCCCCAAAATCCTGCTAATCCCAGCCTCATGCATGGAAGAGGGATGAAAGCACCCAGCATGGGAAAAGCAGAAATTTAAACTGAACTACCTCTGGTAAGAGTTAAACTTACTGAGTTTTAAAATTAGTGTGTTGAGAAATCAATTCTCACCTTGGCTGCCAGTCTTTGATCCAGCAATGCTTGTGTGCCTGTGGGGAGTGGGATTCTCATTTAGTTTATCAATTCCACCACAAGTATTTACACACACACACACAAATAGCACAAAAAGTGAGAAAGTGTACTTATATGCAGAACTGTAGGTGTTTCACACAGAATCACAGGATGGTTTGGGTTGGAGTGGACATTAAAACCATCCAGTCCCACCCTTGCCAAGTGCAGGGACACCTTCCACTGTCCCAGGTTGCTCCAAACCTCATCCAGCCTGGCCTTGGGCACTGCCAGGGATGTGCAAACCCATGAAAGCCAATACCAGGCTATCCAAAATGCTGTTATCACCCTGCCAAACATAATTCTTCCACGACATTGTTATCATACTTTCATCTTTTCATCCCATCCACAAGAGGAAAAAAGCATTTCCAAACAGAAAAGAAAAATTGATATGCAAAAGGATTCAAGCTATAAAATATTTCCTTTTGATTCAGGTCCTAGTATTTTTGCCTGGCTCAAGGTCAGGAAGATCTATAAATTTGTTGAGTAATTTCCAAAGGCCCCTTGCCTGTGCCTTTGCTCAGGAGCACCTTTAGCTTTGCAATTGCAACTTTAAATATGAGAGAAGCCATTTGCTCCTCTGCCATCCCTGGTGCAGTGAAGCCTGTTGATTTCTACAGAAGTTTTTGCCTGTCCCTTCTCCGGGAGGAACCCAGGCAGGTCCCAGCCCACAAGGACCTTCAACACTGGGTATTCCGTACTCAAAAGTTCTGGGGCAGACTCTCTGTGTCCTGCTGCAGTGTGTAGAAACCCAGAAGAAGCCAAGGAATGGGAACCCTAAGCCTGAGACCTCTTTAATAAATTGAATTAACAAGCTTTTGTCTAATATTTGTGAAACTGGTTTTTAATTTGGAGAAGAATAATTCCCAATCATGGAAACTTCTAATCTCTTTCTCCATGTCACCTAAGGAGGGGACTGACCTCTGACCTTTGCTTTCCTCTCTGTTTAATTCCTTTATTTGCTCTCCTTCACTCACTCACTCCCTAACCAGACAATCTGTGTTACAGTTCAGATGCTGCTACACTTTTCAAAAACCCACCCTTTTCTGGGTTCAAATTTTTTTTGGGCAACTCTCCTGAAGCAATGAAGCTTTCACACTGACCCTGTCTGCCAGACCTTTTCTTCCTTAACCACTTGCCAATTCATTGGCTTATTTCAATCCAATTTAATAGAGAGGTAGAAGCCCTGAAGATAATTAAATTCCTGTGACTTCTGCAAACATTGGCAGCTGGAGACAGGTAGGGGAATGAAAAGAGGGCCTCTGCCACAGCAAAACCTGCAGTTATAGGTTTAGCTTGGATATTAGGACAGCTTTCTTCACCAAAAGGGTTGTCCAGGGCAGTGGTGGAGTCCCCATCCCCCCAGGGGATTTAACAGCCATGTGGATGTGGCACTTGGGGACATGGCCTTGTGGTGCCAGGGCTGGGGAATGGTTGGGCTCAATCATCTCAAAGAGATTTTCCAATCTAAGAATTTCTAAGAGGTTCTGCAGGAACATTTCTGCTGGCCTGGGCTCAGCTGAGAGGTTAATGTGAGACACAGCACCTGGGGGAAACAGAGGCACTATGGCAAAGGATGGCCATATTCATATCAAAAGATGAAGGATCCAAATACTGAATCTGCAGCAGCAATGAGACATCAGGAATTCTGCATCTCTGGGTACAATGTTAACTTTGCTCCTCCTTCCCACAGGTGCTGATTCTCAAGTCAAATACTGAATCTGCAGCAGCAATGAGACATCAGGAATTCTGCATCTCAGGACTTTTCTCCTCCTTTCCACCGGTGCTGATTCTCAAGTTCCAGTTTCACCTAGTTTCTTTAGAAGTGTATAAGAGCTGATGTGATACCTGGCACCCAGGCAGGAGAATCTAATTCCAGATTCAGATTCAAAATGTTGTCCTCAGCCTGTAGTTTTTGAATCTGAAAGGTAATGACAGCAACACAGTGAGTATTCGTATTGTTATTTGACTTTACAACCACTTCTGGCATAGGGCACAGCTTGTGCTGCTCTCATACCTGCTCACAACAGCATCACAGAGCGACTTGGGTGCAAACTTGTGCTCAACAGTTGCACAATATCCTTTATTGGCAATGGGACTCAGCTGGGAGTCAGGAGACAAACTTCCATCTGTTAGTAAAAGGTTGTGGGACTGTGAAAAGTCATCTTTTCTTTTTTTTTTTTTTCTCCCTTCTCTGTCCTTTTTTCTCTCCCACACTTTGCCTTTTTCATTAGTTGGAGCTAAAAGTCCTTGAGCAGAAAGGCCTCTTTTTGCACCAGATGTTTGCATGAGCCTAACACATTGGGAGCATTTCTTAGTTCAGGTCCAGATGGGCTATTGCAAAGAAGATAATATCAAGACTAGCAAATACTGATGTTCTTATGTCTATATGACAACATCACCTTTGAAATGGGAACACTTGTCTGTATACGTTATGAGAAAACATTTTTACTGGCATATTTAGCTGTAACAGCCCCGCTGAAGTGCAAACATAAGATCTTAAAAGTACCTCCATCAAAATTAATGGACAGCCTGACAGACATCAAACTTGTTTTCTGCAAAGAGATTAATAATCTTATGGTTTCTAAGATTTTGCCATGCCTGTCTTGTTTCTGTTTCTCTTGCTCTGAGAGAAAGGCTGGACCTCTCCTGAATGTTGCCTACCACCCATGAGCTTGGCTCAAGACCCATCTATAAATTTCATTTGCCTTTTGAAGAGAAGAAATTTTCCTTGACGAAGGTGATTATCAGGTATTAAAGGCTAATCTTATAATAAATTTGTGAATTAGTAAGCTTAATTCTTAACTAGTCAAAAGCAAATCCCCCTTGCTCATACCTTGTTATGCTGGCATCGCATGCTATCGTACCTCTGGAATTTAATCATTTGTCAGGGTAAAAAAATCCCAAGCAGAGATATTTGCTCACTGAAATGAGCCAGGGTGGCCAGGTAAAAAAAAAATAAATAAAATAAAACCATAATGTGAGGTTCTTTTAAGAATTTTTTTTTTAAATTTTATCCCAAAGGGCTTTTATTTTGTGTCAATTCATACAATAAAGTTCTCTTTTATGGGGCTGACTTCGCTCATGTGTTGTTAGCGCACTTAATTAAACTCTGAAATGCTTAATTCTTTCTGGGGCCCTAATTCTGTTCTGTACAAACATTGCTGCGTGCCCTCAATGAGGGAAAGTCAATGTAATTCGACACAAATTTCAAAGACCTCCCCAAAGCGTTTGTTTGTGTGTTGGGCAAAGGAGAGGGGAGGGAAAAAGCTGGATCCTGGCTTTGGAATTGCCCCCGTTTTGAAGGTGAGGACTGTCTGAAACGCTTGGACCCGTTTCTAAATCCCCCTGCAGTCTGGAAGCACGGCTTGACTCCGGTCCAGCTGTACCCAAAAGCAGGGATAAATTATGCATGTGAGGGGCTGCAACAGCCTTCACATTAAATATTGATCTGCTGGTGCTGTGCCACGCTGCGAGCCCGAGCGTCTCCAGATCCACCTGTCTGCTCCGCGGTGACGGCCGCTCCCGCAGGACCGGCTCTGGCGTGGCACACAAAGCCTCCCGTCTCAAATAGGTGGGTCCAGAGCAAATTTCCTCAGCTTAATTTATTCCACACCCTTGCTAGCATAACAAGTGTTCCTCAGCCTCTGTGGATATGTATTTGAGAGGGAGCTGTCTGTCTACATTTGATTTTACATTTCCTTCGGCTGGTTCAGAGATCCATAAGCAAAACCTGGCACCCGGGGATGTCCAAGAGGATTGTGAATTCATGAACAATAAATGGGTTACAGTCAGACATACCTTAACATTTTAATCTCTGGTAGATAGGGCTTGGATAAGTGCTTTTGGATAGCTCTGTGTAATAGATTTATTCACCTGTATACATAGTTTACTTGACCATTTCTGAGCAGAAGGATTTCTTAGGGGTGAGGAAACAAAAAGTCTCCTCCAAGGGTGGCCACCTGCACTCTCCCATTGCTGGCCTGGCAGGCAGAGCTACCTTGCAGCCAGCTGGAGCACTAGAGCACATGCAACACCATTTTCAAAGGAGGGACTGGGCACATCATCCAACAAGAGTAAGGAAAAACCTCTTTCCAATCCCACCACAGCCCTTTTTGATCTCAGCCTCCTGCAGTGGGGACCATGTCTTGGAAATTCCCTGTAGCCTAGGAGACAAATCATGCTCTTACAGGCCCTCCTTCCCATATCTATCCCCCAAACTCCAACATAAAACGGTCATTTTTTGATCTGGAGGAATTTCTGCAGCCACAAACCACCTCTGACTTCTATGGGTACTGCTGCCCCAAGACATGGGCAAACTGCACCCAATATGACCTAGGTTTCCGGCACCAAAACCAAAAAAAAATTATCCTTCTGAGTTCTCCCTCCCATCCTGCAGCAGTTCTCCTACCTCCAGACGCAGGTCCTCGAGGTCCATCAGAATATTGGAGGCAGCTGTCTTCTCCAGCCCACTTGCTTGTCTCATCCACTTGTCAATGTGCTCCTTGTAAAGGTGCTGACGTTTGTTTGAGACATCAAAACTGTAAGACTGAATCAGACCTGTGAAGAATACAAATAACTGTGAGTGTTAAGTAATTTTCTTAACATGAAATAACTGTAAGCAGTTTTCCCAACATTTGTGCATTACATCCGAATTTATAAGTTATAGTGAGTCATCAAAACCATTTCCAATTATTTTAATAGGTGCTCCAAACGAGAATCTGAGCAGCCTCACCATATAAGAAACCTGGAAGGGTTAAAGTAGGTAACTTAATAATTCACTTTAGTTAAACATTTCCAGTTAAGTCACATATTGAAGTTTTTCCACACCTGAAAACATAGAATCTGTCTGAAAAGTACTTAGTAAAGAATTAGTGTGGCATGCCCATTGACTAGGTATTCCAACCAGATGGAAAACGCTTACATGCTCAGCGTTTACTAGATTTCCTCTCTTTTTTTTTTTTTTTTTTTTTTTTTTTGCCTAATTGTAACAAATCCAAGAAGGCACAAAGTTGGAGAAAACAATGTAATAAAGAAAAAAAAAATGGGAGAATCATACTTTCTTATTATTTTCACAGGAAGATTTGGGTTTAACTCTTGGGAGGAGACCCAGCTCAAATGACATTTTCACACAACCAGTACATCCTCTCCTATCCGCACTGAGCTGGGTTCAAAATAGCTGAATAGCAATAACTACCAGGCCAGTTGTGGATCTGACATTCAGAATTAAGCAGATGGCAAGCACGAAAATACAGTCTGGGTTAAACACTGACCACATTTGCCAGAAGCACAGACAGAGAAACCCCAGCCACATCCAGATCATAGGCAGAGCACATCCAGATCTACCAAAACAGTGAGAGCAGAATTCAGTATAAATTATTCTGTGCTAATAGTACACGGACATCTGACAGTATTTTTCTTTTCATGCCCTGCTTTTTTTTTTTTTTTTTTTTTCTTCTTTTTTCTCTTTTTTTTTTTGTTCCCCTTCAAAAGGATGGAATTTCACTCTGTACCGGACAGTTTGGCCAAGAGCTTTTTCCCAAATGGACGCAATCTCCTTTCTGATGTGAGTGCCTAACACCAGTCTCCTGCCACTCCATCCAGCCACGCTGCCCCCGCGGTGCTGCTGGGTAGGAGGTGATATTTAAAGCCATGCCAATGGAACACAACAGGGGATAGGCAGAGCACAGGCAACAGAAGGAGGATTTTGCAAGAGCTCGCTGGGTCACGATAAACTCCTTCTCTGGCCACATCCAGTGTCCAGCCCGTATGTCTGAAGATCTTTGCTGGAAAGCCTTTGTTATTTATTTGGAAATTCACTGTGGCTGTGGTTTAACTCTGTGTTTTGGAGCTGTTCTTTAATTGATATTGGACACTTCATCCTCCATAAAAAACGGTCGAAGGAAGACAGTGAGGCAGGTGATCAACACCAGTGGGTGACCTGGTCTCTATAAGAATGTTACTTAGACATCAAAAAAATCTGCTGGAGAAGAGAAAACAAGTGCACAAGAGCTGTATTTATGAGGTTAAGAGAATCCTACCTTTGGCTAAGCATCAGTAAATGCCTTGCAGAGAAACTTCTTTGTTTCTGGCACAAATAAATATTTATTATTGCACTGGGGAAAAAAGTGCTCTCACAAAGCCTAACTATTTTAATAAAAAATTTAATATGTTTATTTCTTCCAGACAGGAGATAAAAAGTTGTCAGAGAAATAATGGTTTAAATTACAGTGAGATGTTTCCTTGCCTAATCTTTCTCTTTCTTCTTTCCCAAAAATCTACGTGGCATGCTCAGAAGTTTTATTTTTAGTGAGAAATGTCAAGGAAACACTTTATGGTAAGTGGCTGCTCTCTATTAATTCTTTTGTTATTAAATGTGGGAACATTAATTACCATTAATCATTTTGGCTCTAGTATAGATTTCCCGCAATAAATTCTTTAAACACATATACAAACCCTATAATCTAATCAAGTAATTTTCTTCTACCTACTTGGAAGGGAGAAAACAGCAAGACTGTTATTGTTACTTCTATTTTTTTTAATTCTGAGGATGCAGAGGAGAAACTGGCAATGGGACCTCTATAGGAACAGAGAAAATACCCAATAACTATTCCTACAGACAGTGTATGTGCTTCTCACTAATAATCATGCCTTAGAAGAGGCAAAGTGCCTTAATAAAATGTAAAGAAATTCAGAAAGCAAGAGATTTATGCAACTCTAAGTCATCAAGGAAATATATTTCTCTGCAAATGCAAAGACAATAATGAAACTTTGTTTTTCCTCGAGAAAATAAGAAGTAAATACCTGAATTAATTCTGCAGCAATTAGCAAGGTGCTTCCTAATGTAGCTGTGATACAGCCCACATTTCCAGTGCTGACAATGAAGTTCATATTTAGTGACATAAACATAACTTTATTGAGATAAAGAAGAAATGTAAAGTTACAAATACAGGTTGCTGTTGTCAAGATAGTCATGGGAGCTTGTGCTCTGTTGTTTTTCACAAGGTAACACTGGGCTGCTGAACTCTTTTTAAACCTGCCATCACCAGATTCCCAGATTTTCATACTGGCAGGTGCATTCTTTAAACCACAGCGGGTAATTCTGCACAATAACGTTGTCATTACTCCTCGAAAGCCCTAATTTGAATAAACATGATGAATGAATACACTGCATTTCTCAGAACAAACAAGCTCCATCTTAAGCATGGAAGCCACAGTGTGACTGATTAAGTATGGATGCTGCTTGCCAAATCTCACTTTCGCTTTTAAACTTGTAATTGTTCTCAGAATGAAGTTTCCATAATGAACAGTTAAAACCATTTACCTCAAATATTGATTTACAGCTGGAGGCCTTGCATTAAAACGTGTCTTAGCCACTTTGGGCCTTTACCAGCAGCCAAGGTCTGTGCAGGCAGAGGAGAATAACTCTGTGAGGATTCCCTTCACTGGGATGTGATCCACACTTTGCACTCCAAAGTCCACAGTCATCCATCCAAAATCCAGCAGCTAAATAATACAGCCACATCCCAGCAGCTCCTCAAGTCCTCTCACCTCATGTTAAACTCTTTAGTCCATCCTAGCACAAGTTTTACAAACAGGTTTTAATCTCTCCACTCATGCCTTTCCCCACTCCAGACAGCTCCCACTGTTTCTGCCTCTAAGCTTCAGCTTTTCTGGAGCATCTGATCTCCTCCACAAATTTCCTTTTGTTCCCTAGGATTCTGGTGTCCTTTCAGGCTTCTTTCAAGGCATTCTAGACACTCAACATTTAATAGAAAACTCAGCCTTCTAAGAAAAGATAGCCAAACATTACTTCTCTCTTTTTCATTTTTTCTTCCAGAAGCTCCCTGAACTGACATAACACTTCACAGCTGGGCCAATTCCTATATCATATCCTATTTCCTTTCCTAAATCTGTTGCCTTTACAGACTGCAAACCACTTCTTCTATCAGGCAGCTCAAAAGTATTTTCAAGTAACCTGCAGCTGCTGAGCAGCTCCAGGGGGTCTAGACCACCTATGTGAGATGATGAATGGATGTTCTCACTCTTCCCTTAATAAAATCCTCTAGAGGGGAAATAATGAGGGTCACCAAAGATTATATAAATTCCTTGCTGATGGAAATAAATTCAAAAAGAATAGTTCCCAGAGATGGACAGAATCTTTGTGGGGAACGTCAGTGGAGGTGCAATCCTTCCGGACATTGGAACAGTCTGCTCAGGGCAGTGGTGGAGTCCCCATCCCTGGAGGGATCTAAAAGCTGTGTGGATGTGGCCCCTGGGGACATGGGTTGGTGGTGGCCTTGGCAGTGCTGGGGAATGGTTGGAATCCATGACCTTAGAGGGCTTTTCCAACCTTATTATAACAATAAATCCCACGATTTGCCAAAGCATTGCTGGGAAAACCTGACTTCCCATCTGCTCGGCAGAGAAATCACACTGAGACCCCTCCAGGAACGTGCCAGAGCGTGGATCTAAAAAGGCAGGAATGTGAAAAACCTCCTTTTCACCCCTTCCATCCACCAGCAGAGCTGAGGGTAACCTACTTTCCCCCAGGAGTGCCTGTGCTTGCGAGGAGCACAGGCACAATGGCAGGGAGCTCACACACATTGTTTGATAACGTTTTAGCACCCAAGTACCCTGCATCCCACGGCTTTCCTCCCTCCCAGGATGTCATGGAGTTATTGACATTGACAGAACCAGGTTAACAGAGACTAAAGGAACACTACAAATTCCTGCCCCTAGCAGGAGGGATTGAATAATTGCTTTTTTCCCCATTTCTGCTGCATTTTTTTTTTTCTGTAAAAGTTCTCAAGCTCTGGAAAACAACAGGTTGTAGTACAGGTTGTTTCCCACCATGCTGAAAATGTGCTTTGCATTTTGCACCATGATAGCCTGGACCCCCTCTCAAAATGACTCAGTAAAGAGGTAAATTCTGAGGTATCATTTTCTCCAGCTGTATAAACACTAACATTTTTAGAAAATATAATCTGGGATCATATATCATATGTGTGCTATAAGAAAAATAATTTTAACAATCCAGATTTTGAAAAGAAATACAGAGTTTTCTTAATTTGTCAATTTATCACAATTTATGCCACAGATAGTGAAAACTACTCTGGTTTCAATATTAGTCAGACATATCCAGAAAAGAAAAAAATAAAAGACCTGTAATATTCACCAGTACTTAATTTTTAGCAAATTTAGTCATCTTATTCAAGTCTTTTTCATTAGATTATTGTCACTTTCTGGGAAAAAAAGAAAATAAATTTAAAAATTAAAAAAATATAAAAGTGAAAAATCCAAGCATTTCCAGTTTCTGCTGGAGAAGAGACAAAATGCCTGTGACTTAAAGAACCTGTCACAAGTTATAAGCATAAATAGCACAGTTTTATATCTTCGGGAATAACTTCAAATACACAGAACAGCCCCCTGGTTTTAATCTTATTTTTTCCCTTAATAATTGACCTACATAAGCAACCAAATCCTTGGTATATTATAGTGGCATAATTTAAATTTCTCTTACGTGTACTGTAGAGTTGTCACTGAGGTCCCCAACCAATCATTATGGAAGACTGAGGGCTGGAGTGATGCTTTGGTTGCCGCAGTATTTAGGGGGGAAAAAAGGAGGGAAAGCAGTAAAAAAAAAAAAAAAAAAAACAACAAACCCTCTCGAAATGAACAACCTGGTGGAGGTTTCAATCCATTAGCAGCATTGAGCTTGCCAGTTCTGTACTGCAGCATTTGACAAGGCTCTGAGCCAGAGATTAAGGCACGTCTCCTGAGGAAGGAAAAGAACAGGAGCTTCCACACTTCATTAAGGATATGTTTTATTTGCAAACTGCCAACCCACAGAGTGGCACTGACTTTTGGGTCATGGAAAAGGTTGCAGTTGTGCACTTGAGCCGTGCCAAGCTGAGTTGGATAATGCTCCTAAAAAAGCAAATCAAAGAAAAATGATAAGGAAAATAGGGAAATCCACTAGTACAAACCACCTAAAATAGGACTTGAAATGTAACTTGTGCTCCAGTCAGGATTTTCCTCCTCAAAAATCGTGCTAAAGCAGGACAAGAGCCCAAAACAACAGGGAGCAGTTAACTACAAAATGCATATTCAAGCTGTGTATTTTTCTTATAATTTAAATATACATTCTCAGATTTATTTCACAGTGATTGCTTTAAAAAATGTTAATATCCCTATAGAATCGAGCCTTATCTCCATTTGATGCTTTGCCAAAGACTGTACTAACATTCCACCACTGTACACTTTTTTTTTTTTCCTAAGCTATTGTTGTTTTTTCCTGGCTTGTTTTTCAAAATCCAAATAGAAATACATAGTTTATATGGTTTAGAGCATAAATCATAAATCACTCATCATAAAGGGCCAGTTCTTGGAGTCTTTATTTGTTGTTTGCACTGGCAATTTCCCAATCATTTTCACAAGGAGCAGCATTTGAATAAAGACATGATTGCCAGTAAAGGTAAATTTTCTTTATTCCAGGAAAAAATGCTTTAACAATAATATTCTGGGTTAAGTTCCAGATCCTCTGCAGTGACATCAACAGAATAGTTTGAAATGAAAGGTGCTCAATGGCTAAAGGTAAGAAAAAAGAGTGCCCATGGGACCATCACTGGGAAGCTTGCCTAAGAAGACATAAATTATATTTCTGGAATGTCCATGACCTATTTCTTTGGATTTTAAAAGCTCCAATAGTGATCACCAGTGAAGCTGTGATTTGCTCTGCCTGTGCACCCACCTGGTCCAGTTGCAAACACCACTGCAGCTGTTGCAAAACTGGCAGAGGTGAAGGTGTAGCTCTACAAAGATCAAAGCTGATGGCTCTGCATCATCTTCAGTGCCTAAAGAAACCAAAGCAGTTATTTTTATTTTTAATTTGTAGCTGAAAGACCATTTATGGACATAAAATGCTGCTGCTGGGTGTCCTTCAATACTTAAGAAAACATGAATTTTATAATCTACTGCTGCACAGAACAGCAGTAATTTTTAAAGTACTTCAAGCTCAATCACCTTGGTAGAATGTATCTTTTTTTTTTTTTTTTTTTTTCCTTAAATGCATGCAGATCTCAGGGTATTTTCACTTAACACGTCCACACGTGCATTTACCAACCACAGCTGACTAGTGGTTCTTCCCTGTTGGGCTTCCTGATTTTCCCTATTTCACTACCTTTGATGACATTTTCAGCTAGAACTGGTAGTTTCTGTGTAGCCCAGAATGACAAGATGCCATGGGAGCCATAACTGGCAGCAAAAGTGGCACTCTGGCTCAGCCCAGGCAAAGGTTCTGGGAAGCATCTTTAATGAGATCAATGGAATATTTGCTTTGCCTCTCTTCTCTGTTGAAGACATGCAGAGCAGGGAAAGTCAACAGCTGCAAATATATTGGTCTTTTTTGGTCTTCTCCATTCAGGATAACCAAATTTGTGACCTTGGAAGGAACAGTTAAACTGCTTGCAAGGATGAAGTGGATAAAACCATCAGCCAAAATGAAATGTTCACCCAGAGCAGAATCACGGCATCCCCTTAGTCTTGAGAGAGAATCAGTGATTGGGAAAAATGTCAAAAGCTTACAAGAGAGAACTTTTGAACTGTTGGCCAATTTTGCTTTGGTCTTATAAATTTTCTTCACTTGCCATGTTCTGCCTTCATGAAAAAAAAAAAAAAAAGAGAAGAAACAACTAACAACAAAAACATCAAACCTATAACCATCAGTTAGCTCTGTGGTGAGGTGTTTTTCTGCCAACCTGAGGTCAGAAGCAGAGCTGGCATCCCAAAAACAAGGCTTTGTATTATAGCATTGTATTTTTGATGCGGTATTTGAGAGTCAATTACTGTTTCCATTATAAACCCTGTTTTCCAAGGGTTTATACCTCAACCGTTTTCATTTTCATCATGCTGAACTTGGCATATGAGTATTATGGGTTCACAATTTTTAAATAGACCAAATGAGGTTGGCCCATTTTTAGATACAGAGTAGTCAGAAACTGTTTGTCAGTTGGTTTTGATTTTTATTCTTTGAATTTCAAAAACTGAACTGTAGTTTCACTTTTAGAACTGCATTACTTCAGAGAATTAGTCTCTGCGGCTGTGTCTGATACCTCTCAGCACTTCTAAGAAAAATTTAATTGCATTTTTTTGTAAATAAAAAAGCCTGTTGACAAAATTCTCCCTTTAAGAGCTGATTTTCTTTGTGTAATTTCAGATGCCAAGACTCCCAAGCCATATGTCCTTCCAGAGGCTGGTGCACATCAAGCCACTTTTACAGCTGAGAGGTGGATTTTAGCCCAGTAACTTACCTCATTTTAGAAAACTGGGGGCAATGCATCAATTCAGAGGTCAACATCTCCAGTCATAATCTTTCCGGTGACTTCAGAAAGCTTTGGACCTGAGAGACCTGGAGGAATTGTCTCACTGTTTCCCCCACCAATGACTCAAGGTTGACTGTGCAACGTGGGGCAGAGGGAGGGCTGTCTCCTGGGCCAGGTGAAGCCCAGAACAGAGTGTACCCTTGATGGAGACCAAAATCCAGATGGCCACTGGCTGCTGAGCCCTCCATCTGGGGCTGCGTGTCACTCAGTAATTGCACACAGCAGATGCTAATTGCTTAAAAGCTCCTTCAGCTTAGAAAACTCACTTTGCCAAGGCCACGACGAATATTTTTCTTTGACTTCAATTTCCATGCATTCCTTCCACCTGAATTTCCTGCATTTTTTTCTATTAATTGAAGATAGCTGGAATCACAGGGCAATGACACAAAAGTTTCACAATTTGGCTGTAGAACTGTTGGACTGACTCATATTCAGTTCATCCCTGTGAACGCCTGTTTCTGGAGAAAAGGTTTGTTTCGTCTGAAGTACAAAGAACTCTAAGTTCATTCTTACTAGAAAGGTTTCTGGTATTTTTCCCCAACAGAGCTGCTCTGTAGTCTAAAATCAGAGCAGAATCTGCTCTCTATGAGCCAGATCTCTACTTTAAGGTGACCAATAAAACTTTTAACTTCTAAAACACAATTCCACGTAATTTTTTTTTTTTTTTTACAAATCATTCTTAGAGTACACCGGTAAGATCTGCAAGTTGGATCATACTAATGTGCTTCATTGGGAAAATGAATCACAGCGAAGCTGTGACTCACCCAGAGCTACACAGAGGATCAGGGTCAGAGACAGGAGGAGAACAAACATTCCAATTCCCACTGCCGTGGGTTGCTTTCCCAACACAGAAACTGAGCAGAAAGCAATTAGATTCCAGTCCAAACTTTGCTGTTGGCAATCAATTTCAATAAGTTCTAGGACAAACCACTACTCCTCACTCATTCTGGGGGCAGTCACACGATTTTGTCACCTCTCCTTACATCCCCCATTGCAGCAAGGTGAGGCACCAAGCCAGTAGGCAACACCAAGATCCATCACTGCTACAGTTTACATCATACTGTCAGGTGGATCCAATTTTTCCCACATGTGACTGACAGGCTGAATTTCAGGGGTGGAATGCAGAGTTTTGGGCTGCCATCTTCCCTTTCACCGTCTGTGTGGGATCACCACGGGCTGCATGTGCAGAGAGTGCTTGCCCAGATCATGTTTTTGTGAACACTGACAAGAACAACTTTCTTGAAAGCTATCAAAGGCATCCTCATTATCCTTTATGGGCTGTGTAGAAAATGTCTCCACTATTAGACATTTAACTGGAGTGCAGCAGAATGATTTTGCTGGCCCCCTCCAGTTCTTCGGGTAAAAGCTCTGTTCATAATCAGTTTCTGCTTTTTTTAATGAACCTCAAGAGGTCCCTTCTGGTACACTTCAGTTCCCTTTCTAGTGTCCCATTGATTTTACAGACTTTAGGAACTTGCTCTTAACCTTCTGCTTTTTCCCTGGATCACTGCTGAATGATTAGGCACTACACAGCCCTTTGTTACCCAGAACACTGAGAGTGATATCTGGAGAATTAAAACACCAGTTACAATAACGTTTGCTGGGGAAAGAGACTGTTCTTCTCTCAGGGCTATTGACCCCATTTATGTGCATGATTTTCTAAGAGGACAAGAATGACTTCAGACTCAGGGAAAAAATACAGGATGGTCTGCTTGAGCACAAGATTGAAATCCACTCAAGAGCCTATGCTTGTACTGTGAATTTCAACAGCAGAAGTGGAAGCATTTAGTGTTGGGAAGGGTAGGCCAGAGCCTGGAATATGGTGGGCAGTGTGCAGGAATAAAATGTAGAGATTAAAGAAAAGGATTTTAAAGGATTTTCCAACTAAAGTGTTTCCAGTTATCTGATTTGATTCACATGGAGCCACAGCAGTGCCAAAAATGCATGCTTGTTGGGTTTTTTTGAAGTTGGAGAAGTTTGAGAATTACTTCTTAAGACATGCCAGGTAAATTCAAAGAGAGGGATGCTTGATGCAAGGACATCCTCCTAACCACAGAATAGCAGTGCCACAGGCTGTGATTAAATGTGCTGTTCCTCCCAGAGACTCTGATCCTTCTCAGATGCTCTCATTCCACCCGAGTCCTGGTGCAGGAATCATAGAATGGTTTGGGTTGGAAGGGACCTTAAAATCATCTGATTCCAACCCCTCCTCACCAGGGGCAGTGATTTTCCCATGCAATTTTAGGACTTCTTTTCTTTGCCATGCCCTCCCCAAGTACCACATCAAATTTTTTCAGGGTAGATCAGTTCTTTGAAAACGGTAAAGGACCGAGCTCTGATATCATCCTGCAAACTTCCTCACTACCCCCCCTGCCCCAGGATTTTCCCAGGAGGGTGAAGTTCAGGAAACTCCATTTGCATCAACAGGTTTGAGGCAGAGTGCAGAGACAGCTGCAGCCCAATTACCTCCCGCCCTCGGCTGCTGCTGCCTGGCTGAAAGATGCTGGGAGGGGGGCAAAAATAAAAAAAAAAAAAAACAGCCAAGCTTAAAACCAGAGAAAGAAATCTCATCGTTGTTGTGGTTGTTGAGATGCCAGCTGAAAAGGAATCATTATAAAGAGGCTGATACTTTCAGGGGAAACAGAGGACTCACCCGAATGATCCCAGTTAAGGGCCTTAACAGAGAGGAGGCTTTAACGGCTCTCTGGAACTGGTGAGTCTCCCTGCTTGGCTGGGTTTGAATTGTGTGTTACTGCAGTAACATCTCACAAACAGGGACACCCCTCCTCTTTAAAACTGTTTGCTCCCGAAATAGCAACGCAATTTAGCAATATTTTGTATCAAGACAATTACATTGTAGTATTATTGTAGTCTTAGTACCTCATTAAAACAAAAAAATGTTAAATCCTTGTTTTGTTGAACACAAGAGATGAATAGTAAATATTGATTTAGAATGAATGCAAACATTTCCCTAGGAGTGGATAATTACAGCCTTTCTATGCAAAACACTTATATTTGAAGAAGCACTTCACTTACTTTGCCATGTGGTATACATTCTTTAGTACATTTTAAATTATACGTTGTCCTGGACAGTGTCTGCTCTATAATTTCTTGTGTCTCTACACCAGAGTCAGTATGTAATTTTAAACTGCAAACTTTCTGCCAACGAGAAAGGGAGAACAAGCTTAACTCTTTCCCTTAGCTGGGCTCAGAAATCAAATCAGACTGCACACAGAGTCCTACAACCAGTGAGTTCAGGGCTCGAGCAGCAAGGAACAAGTTCAGAGTAGCTGGAATTTAACAAAGATGCTGCTCCCAGCAGTCCTCGTTTTCACACGGTATTTTCTGATTGCATCCAAGGCTCCATGTGCTCCAGTTTCCAGCCAGATCACAAGGAGTCCAAAAGTTTGAACAAAAAACCCTCGACTTCCAGAGAATTCACAAATGAAATGAACACGTGAAAAAGAGCGCTG